GGGGTCAGATAGAGGGTTGGAGCCGGACCATGTCTGGCACAGCCTCCCCTAACCGGCCCTCCATACAATTTCAGAAACCCGATGTGGCCCTCAGGCCAAAAAAGTTTGCCCACTCCGATATACAGTGTGGAGTTATAAATTTTTAAATATAGATCATAATTATAATGTAGGAGGGGTGCTTACATAATAGGCATAAATAATATATTTGGATAAAATACATTAAACTGCTAATGCAATTAATTAGGTTGAGACTTTGATCACTCAAAAGCCAGACACTTCGAAGTTGCAATTCCAACAGCAGCTGAATGGTTCAAACTTCATTACCTCAGGGTCAAACTGTGCCCTCTGCATGCATGTGACTTCCATTGACTGGATTTCCCGCTGGGACTGGGTGTCACACATGCCATGGGAATTCAGGAGATGGCTCTTACGCCGTTCAGCGCTGGAGCCTTGGAGCCAAGGGTAGATACAGAAGAGATCCCCCAGGGCTGCAGAGGCAGGCAGCGAGGGTAACACGATTGTTGGCAGCCGTGCCAGCCTGCCGGTGCATAGGAGCCACTCAGAGGGTGTAGTCTAGCAGGGGCGCCAGCCTCACGGACTCTTCTCCTATGCCGAGGATACTCAGGGAGACAAAGGGAGAAGCATAGTGAGCATCAGAATAACATTCCTTTGAAAAGGGTTACAAAATCACTGGCCAAATAACAAAATCCCTGGCCCTGAGCTCTATAGCCCCAATCTGCACAGACCTAACCAGCCAGCAGCCCTTGCATGCACATATGAGGTGTGTCAGCCAGTTTAGCCCCCTTAGGTTTGAGAAGTAGCTTAGAGATCTGTTATTTCCGTCAGCAGGGAGGCTTATGCGCAGCCATCTAAGCTAGCACGGGAGGCATTGATTCAGCCCTGTGCCACACAAATCACCCATTTTAGAAATGGTTTCGTCTAGCACAGTCCAGCCCCCAGTGCAGACAGGGCGTAATGTGACTAAACTCCTGCACCTTCACCCAGGGTTAGACTAGATGGCCTTTGCGATCCTTTCTAAGCCTATGATTCTATGAAAACTGCTTTTGAAAACACATCTCCAGAGGAGGCAGGACCCCATCACTGTTTAAATGCTCCATGTTTATTATTAGCTTGTTATGATAGCAGCCGGGAAGAGCCCCCTCTCTTACCCCATCCGTCCCTTCTCCATGCAGCAGCATTTGAAAGGGCCCCCGTTCATCACTCCCTTTACTCTACGCTGTTCCTTCCCACCTGTCTAATGGCTGTGTTTACACTAGCCTCACAGCCATGTTTATAAACTGGCTTTAAACACAATTCCCACTAGAGGGATTTACCACACTGTTAAGCCAGCTGGGCCAAAACAGTATTTTAAAAGAATGCACTAGGCTGCGTCTCAGTCCAGGGCTTTGGCCACAAGACCAACCTTGGTCTGACCCACATCAGACTGACCAACTGTCTGCCCCTCCTCATGGTGGTAAGCAGGATTAGCAGAAGCCATGTATAAATCTGGTCTTTGAAGACAGCTGGGAGGCCAGTGCAGATGGGCCCAAAATGTTCTTCCTAACCCCTAGTCTTCCTGAGCTCCCAGCTAATAGACACATAGGCCAGAAGGGACCAATGTGATCATCTAGTTTGACTTCCTGCATTTTGGAGGCCACAGAACCTCACCCACCTATTCCTGTAATAGACCCATAACCTCGGAAGTCCTCAAATCATGATTTGAAGACTTCAGGTTACAGAGAATCCACCATTTCCACTAGTTCAAACCTGTACGTGACTTGTGACCCAGGCTGCAGAGGAAGGCAAAATAGCCACCCTGGGGCCTCTGCCAGTGTGAGGCAGGGTCTCTGCCAAATTCCTTCCTGACCCCAAATATGGCGGTCAGTTGGACCCTGAGCATTTTGGCAAGACCCAACAGCCAGACATCAGGAAAGAATTATCTGTAGTAACTCAGAGCCCTCCCCATGTCATGTCCCATCGCCAGCCAATGCTACTACCATTCGCAGATTGGCTACATGCCATTGTGGGCAGTCATACCACTCCCTCCATAAACTTATCAAGTTCAGTCTTGAAGCCAGGTAGGTTTTTTCCCCCCACTGTTCCCCTTGGAACTTCACTCCTCTGATGTTTAGAAGCCTTTGTCTAATTTCAAGCCTAAACTGGTTGATGGCCATAGCCTGGTCCAGAGTGTATGCTTGCTGTCTTCCCTCAGCAGCTGCTTCCTCCTTCTCCTCTGTTTTCCTTCCTCCCTCTCTAGCTGTAAATCCATCTCTCCCTCCTCTTTCCCATGTTTCCCATCCACCCTAGAAACATCCCAGTCTCTCAGGTGCCCTCACAATGAGTGTTTCCTCATGTTCCCCCAGAAGCGTCTCTCCCCTCCCATACATGCTCCACAATGCTCCTCTAGATACCCTCACAAAGTGGTTGTATGTCTGTCCCTCAGAAATCCTGCCCCAATCCCTCCACAGTGTGTGCACGCACACACCTACGTGAAGCCACTCCCCAGAGAAAGTTGATGAGTGCTGTGAGTGACTGATGAGGGCAGAGTTGGCCTCAATAGGAGCTGAGGTTGGGAGCTGATTGGAAGACTGAGCTCTGCCCCTCAGCTCTTCTTAACTTCTGCAGTGAGACTGTCGTTTCCACTGCATGTGTGAGAAGCAGCTTTCCTAGGATAGGGTGTGTGCTCTTCACGGGCAATGCAGGAGATTCCCTCCGCCCCACAACGCAACTGCTTCTTCATGCATGAATGCTCCATGACAGAAGAAGTGAGATGGGCTTTTGTACCTCTGTCCTCTCCCACATCCAGACAACTGGTGCCTTTGCCCTAATCCTCCCACCCCAGCACACTGAAGGTGCAGTTATGGTCAGGAGAGTGACGGGAGAAGAATAGCATTTTCTTTCCCAGCATCTTTGCTCCTTTTTCTCACCTCACTTCTAGAAGCCACCACAGAGCCAACATTGGATCCCATCCCGGCTCATGCACCTCCAACCGATTTGCTAACTAAGACAGTGTCTACACCACAAGTACGACTGTGATTTCATAAGCGCTTTCACCTTACGTCAGTCGCACTTAAACACCGGAAACAAAAATGAATGTAATTAAAAGCAAGCAAAGGGCAAAAAGATAGGAGTGGGGGAAAAGTAAGATATGATGATGAATTTATGCTGACATGAGTTTGTTGGCTTCAGCATGTGTCTAAACACAAAGTTAAACCTGGTTTAACTCAAGATGTGATGTTAAACCAATTTAGTTAAACCAGGGCAACTTTGGCTACGTCTACACTGCAGCTGAAGCTGTAATTTCCAGCACGGGCTAGCGCACTAAAAAGTGCAGTGTAGTCTCGGTAGCCCGGCCTAGTTACCAGAGTACAATTACATCCAAGACCCTAGGTGCGAACTCGGCAGCTATCCTGTACCTCTGCCCATGGCCCTGCAGCTACACTACTATTTTTAGTGCAGTAGCTCAATCAAAGCGAGCGTGTGTTCACCTACCCAAGCTGGAAATTACCTTTCCAGCTGCAGTGTAGATGTATCCTTTGTGCATACTTACCCAATGTAACCTATTTCAAACCGGTGTAAGTTTGCCCATGCGAGGGCTTGCACAGCTTAAACAAAATCACCTTTTAAACTGATTTAAGTAAAACTGGTGCAACTTCTGCGTGTAGACAAGTTGTGGGAGAATGTTAGGAAATGTATTGCCTTTAGATTATTTTAGGTTTGAGATATGTGGGAAGTAAAATATGTGGGTGGAAGTGAAATAGTGATTTGAAACCTCAGGACTCTAAGGGTGTGTCTACACAGTCCACGGCTGCAAGTCTCAGCCCAGGTCGACAGACTTGGGCTTGCACTACTGCAGTAAAAGGAGCTGTGTAGATATTAGAATATCAGGGTTGGAAGGGACCTCAGGAGGTTATCTAGTCCAATCCCCTGCTCAAAGCAGGACCAATCCCCAGACAGATTTTTGCCCTAGATCCCTAAATGGCCCCCTCAAGGATTGAACTCACAACGCTGGTTTTAGGAGGTTAATGCTCAAACCACTGAGCTATCCGTACCTTTTTACAGGGGCTTTGAAGCTTACCCCTCTTCTTTAGAGCCCAAGCAGCAGCATCTACACAGCTATTTTTAAAGAGGCCCCACAAGTCCAAGTGTGTCCAGCCAGGCTCTAAGATTCACTGCGGCTCACTTTGTACCGGTTTCCAGGAGCCACCCTAGAATGTTTGTTTGAAAGTCGGCAGTGGGAGGAGGCCAGCTGGAGAATGGAGTGTGGAGACTGGCCAGCTGGAATCGGTTTGGTCTGAGTTTGCCAGGAAAGGTGTCTCCAGAGATTGGTCCATCAGAGATGATGGGGGTCCAGGCTGCTGAGAGGGTGGCGATGAGACCGAACTGCAAGAACGTCAGGCTCTGTGACTTATGAAAAGGAAGCCTGCATTGAGGTCTGAGATAAGATTTTCCGGGGCTTCAAAAGGACAGAGGGCACAGACAACTGATCAGTACCGGAGTTTATTCATTGGTCTGAATTGTAAATAACAAGTGACAAATTTGTTAATTCAGTTTGGAGCGGAGCTGTGGTGAATGATGATTTCTGAAGCGGCCTTTGAAGAACGCCTACCATACCTATCAGGGACCCCCATACTCCTATGTATGTGAAATGACTTGGTGGGACTCAGTGCATTTCCTTGTGTACAGTTACCTACGTCATAAAAACTCTCACTATATACTTAACATTTCCCTTGAAAGTTATTATCTACTATGCATGTTCTGCTCTGCTTCCTCAATCTCATCAGTGGAAATGCTGCATTCTGGCCTTGTTTCTCTTCATTCACACCAGAGACATCTTTCCTTTTTCCCCTCCACTTTCTTCTTTTCCCTGCTGTGGCTGTGAGGAAAGCGAACACAGGTTAAAACATGGAAGGAGCAGTTTGGTAGGGGAGGGATTATAATGCAGTAGAAACAAGGCATGCTTTAATAACCAGCTGCCTCTTTTTCTCTCTCTCTTGCAGTTGTTGCAATCTCAGGATGTGAAAGAAGATGCTGTCCTTTGCTGTTCCATGGAGGTATGAAGGGGCTGTTGGGACCTCAGATATTCGGAGCCAAATTCCTCACAGCTTTGCACCTTGTGTCATTGTTTACACCTGTTCCAAGTGGTTGTAAAATCAGAACGGTGGTGTTTGCAGCCCCCCCCCCCCCTTTGCACTTGTTCTGCGCAGAGGTAAATGGTGACAGGAGGGCAAATAGTGGAGAATCAGGCCCTCTTTTTTATATTTACTTTTTTAACTTGTTTGTTTGTTTGAGGGACATTGCAACCAAAACGAAAGTTCTCAAGAGGGACCACAATGTCAGTCCCACAGCCTTGTGCTACATAGGACCCCAGGCCAAGGTGTGAAACCAAGCTCCTGACCACCTAGGATCATCAAAAATCCCACAACTCCTTTTCTGTGAAAAGGGTATTACCATTATGAGTGTGTCTGTTTCATTATATTTGAATATAGCAAACTACACCCTGCAGCCTTATTGCTTTGTGTTATGGTCCCATCACACGCTATGTATAGTCAAGGCAGGCCAGTATTAGGTGGGGAATATCTGAAATAACACTGGCGATTCAACATGAGTCAGTACTGAGCAAGTGCCCAGCCCAGTGTGTGCTGGCTCTGAGCTCCTGGAAGGGCCGTTATACAAGTGAAATGTTAAGTTCATGTCCTAACCACCTAATGACCGCAAGGGTGAAGTATTGAGTTCTTCTTTGCAGCACAAATCAAATTGGGTCAGGGGACCTAGATATAACCCAGGTTTCAGAGTAGCAGCCGTGTTAGTCTTTTTGCAGATATAACCCAGTTGTTCCCTGTCTCACTTCCAATGCAATTCCAATCTCCCATCTAAACAGGACTTTTCCAGGGCTCAGTAACCAGGCTAAAGCTTTGGACATGGTTACAAAATCCATTTAAGGTCCCATCTACTGCTCACAGTGGAATCTTGCTAGAACTTGGTCCCCCGTCGAGATGTTAAAACGTCTTAAGATAGGGCTACAACTCTTTTCCCCGGGCTCCTATATGACACAGGACACTTTCCGCTCAAAGACTGACATTCCTCTTACTGCCCTGATTTATTTTCAATTGCTGAGGATTTTCTTTCCCTTTCCCTCCCCCATTCAGTCCCCCATAGTTCTTCCCTCCTTACATGCTGCTTCTGCTTTCCCCCTGGCTGACCGCCCTTGTGATAGGCCTGCACCACCCTCAATGCAGTGTTCTGATTGGCAGTCAGCAGTGAAATCTGGAGCGTCTCATTAGCCCCTAGAGATGAGCCATCACTTTAGGTATATACACTGCACGCTTGGTCTCAACCAGGCCTGGGGCCCAGAATCCTAAATGTGAGTCCCATCACTGTGCATACAGTGCCACGCTACCTGACTGACTTTTGCTTTATATTTTATATTGCACTTAAAAAAAGCCTATGTTAAAAAGAACGTCAAGGTAGCGAAGTCAAGCATTCAGAAGTTAGGATATGCCAGGATTAAGGTTGCCTTTTATATGTTCAAAGCACTGCTCCCATTGACGTCAGTTGCTCAGCACTTCGGCAAGCCAGACCCCAGCGTCTCAAGCAGGCACCCAGAAAATGAGAATACATCATTAGTGACCACTTGTGAAAAGTTTGGTGTAAGCGACTTGCTCAGAATCACAAAGGGACTCTTTGTGGCAGAGGCAGGGATAAAATCCACTTCTCCAGAGCAGCATTCAACTGCCTTAAGCATGAGACCCTCCTTTGTCTTTTGTAATCTCCTGCCTTCTTCGCTACACACCTTCCAACCTCTGCAACAAATGAGCCAGGGAGCCTACAGAGAACAGCCTCCTTCACTACCCAAACCTGATTCAACCCCAGAGCATCTCCCTCCTGTGCATTGAATGAGACAGGGGTCCTGTGGAAAAAATAGTATGCGATCATGTAATTAAAGACTGTCTCGTGGTCATAAGGCAGAAACACCCGGGGGCTGGATAAGGTTGCATAGACTACCTTGATTCTGACATTTCCTAATGTATGAGTGCTTGACTTTGTAATATTAATGTTCTTTTAATGAATTTTTGTGTGTAATTTCCTAGGTTTAAAAAAAACTAACTGAAAACATTGAAATTCCATCATGTGGCATCATATTGAAACCCACATGGGTCATCAGCATGGTTGGAACCTTTATTCATATTTATTATTTGTATTACTGCAGCACCTAAGCACCCTAGTCATGGACCAGGACCCCACGGTGCTAGGTGCTGCCCACAGAACAAAAAGACTGTCCTAGATCCACCACACAGGCCTCTGCCACTTGAGCTAACAAAGTACCGGATAGCAATAGTAGGTTGTCATCCTCTATGTGGACCAGCACTAGAGTGGGGGTGAAACACTTTGCCAGTAGGTTTCACAGATATTTTCTGACAGCAGTGAAATGGTGAGAATCAGGAATCATGAGTTCCATTCCAGGCTCGAAAGGGATATGAGCTGTAGTGGGCACCGATTCTTCTGCTTGTTCCCCCTGTCACTTACACCTCCAGTCCTGGGAATTCTGGCTCTTCATCTGATTTGTCTCTCTTCCCTGACAGCCTCCAGCTGCCCGCCATCCAGTCTATGTGTTCCCCATCTTCACTGGTTCCCAGTCCCTTTCTGGACTTCTTGTCAAGCTCTTGTCCCCATCCCATTTCCCTCCCTTTCCCCTCTAGTTCCTTGTCCCAGTCTTTTTGCAGACAGTCCCCTTCTCCCTTGCACCCTGGCTTCTTGTCAGATTTGTCTCCCCTCCCCATCCCTTTCCCCCCATCACACTGGTTCCCAGTCTCCTGGCCCAACTAGTCTCAATCTCCTTTGAGGTCAGACTAGATGATCTGTTGGTCCCGTATTGCCTTAAAATCTATGAAACTGTCTCCCGCCACCCAGCTTCCAGTTCCAGTCTCCCCACGTGGCTTCCTGTCCCAGTCTCCCTCTCCCCACCCCACCCGAGCCTCCAGTCTCAGTCTTGTGTTGTCTTCCCACCCAAGGATCCTTCTCCAAATCTGTCTCCCCCCCCCCCTCCCCGGTTATGGTTCTTGTCCCCTCTCCAATTGAAAAAGGCTGTTTCTTCCTCCACGCTGCCTGGGTGGCAGGAGAGGCGAATGCTGAGAGCACAGCAGAGACCGTTTCCCTGCTCTTAGTTTAAGGGCCCAACCCTGGCATGGCCCACAGCAGCTAAGAGTTGCAATTCCAGGGAAAGTTCTGCTCTGCCCTGGGTGGAGGAGCATGCTCAGTGTGGACGGAATAGTCAGAGCTTTTAGTTTCAAAGCTCTAGCAAGTCACTACTCAGCATGTGCAAACTGCAATATATATATATATATATAAAAAAGGCTTTTAACTTGACCAAATTTGGGCAGTTTTTCGAGAGGCTGACAAAAGGCACATCCCTGACACAAAGGCCATCCCACCCCCTTGCCAAATTTCAAGTCCCTGCTTCAAAGTTGGAGGCGCTAACGCATTTCAAAGAAACGGTTGCCAGAATTTAACATGGACAAAACAACTTATTTTTCACTAGTGTGTCTCTTGGAAAGGGCTGAATTGTTTTGGCTGAAATTCTGCAAAAAGACTCGGACTGAGGCAGACACCTGGCTTGGGAAATTTCAGCTCAAATGGTTAAAGATTGGCAAAGTTATAAACAACTGAAAACAGGGTCTAATAATGGAAAGTGTGGAGCAACCTTAATAATAACCAGCGCTTCCATAAGATAATAATAGGAAAAGGATTTGCAGCATTATGGCTGGAGCAGAGTCTGGCGTTCTGGATACATGTGTTCTAGTCCATGCCTTGCCATGGGTATGTTGTGAACTCGGACTAGTCACCAACCTTTCTGTACCTCAATTTCCACCTTTGCTGAATGGCTGCAATGCCGTATTCTACCCCACAAGACTGTTTTGAGGATTCATTGTTTTAAAGCAATTTGAGATTCTCATCACCATACCTGATAAATGAAAATCATCATTTTATAGAGATTACCAATTCAGTACAACCTTCCTAAATTCACATTAATGGCTGGGGGTTATCTGACACTTGTGAATCAGCAAAATTACTGAATGAACATTTAACTATCATATCACAGCATGCATTTTGTTTTGTCAGATTGATTTTCGAGTGGGATTTGGTAAAGCATTCAGCACTACTCCCGTTGGAGTGAGTGCTTTTGAAATTCCCACTCTGACTGTTCAGTTCTTCATGATATACCACTGAATGTTAAGGTAATCTTAAGGTAGCCAAATGCCTCGTCATCTAATTAGTGACGCGCATGAATGGATGAATGAGATTCCCACTGTCCCCACCTACTATCTAGCGAAACCACAGCCAAGGGAACCGGCTTGGCAGAATCAGCGGGGAAAGAAGACCCTGTTGAGCTTGACTCTAGTCTGGGAGGCTTAGGAATACATGGCCTCAATACAGTACCTAGTGAGTAACACTGAGAAGAGGGAAGACTAGCAATTATTTGAGCAAGATTAGAGAATCATAGAAATGTAGGGCTGGAAGGGACCTCGGGAAGTGATGATGAAGCCTCTTCCAGAGCTTAATTTATAGTTAGAAAGTGAGTATCTAACCTAAATCTCTGTTGCTGCAGATTAAGCCCATTACTTCTTGTCCTACCTCCAGTGCTCATGGAGAACAATCAATCACAGTGCTCTTTATACCAGTCCTTAACATATTTGAAGACTATTACCAGGTACCCCCTCAGTTGTCTTCTCTCAAGACTAAACAGGCCCAATATTTTTAGTCTTTCCATGTAGGTCAGGTTTTCTTTAAACCTTTTATCACATTAGTTGCCCTCCGCTGAACTCGCTCCAGTTTGTCCACATCTTTCCTAAGTTGCGCCCAGAATTGGACACAGTAATCCAAGTGAGGCCTCACCAGTGCCGAGTACAGCGTGATAATTACCTCCTGTGTCTTACATGCAACATTTCTGTTAATACACCCCAGAACGATATTAGCCTTTTTTGCATCACATTGTTATCTCATATTCAATTCGTGATCCACTACAGCCCCCAGACCCTTTTCAGCAGTACTACCGCCTAGCCAATTATTCCCCATTTTGTAGTTGCGTGTTTGATTTTTCCTTCCTCAGTGAAGTACTTTGCACTTGTCTCTATTGAATTTCATCCTACTGATTTCAGACCAGTTCTCCAATTTGTCAAGGTAGCTTGTGTTCTAATCCTACCCTCCAAAGTGCTTGCAACCCCTTCCAGCTTGGTATCATCTACAGATTTGATAAGCATGCTCTCCACTCCATTATTCAAGTCATTAATGAAAATATTGAATACTGTCGGATCCAGGACTGACACCTCTGGGACCCCACTAAATGTACCCTGCCTTCCCAATTTGACAATGAACCATACATAACTCCTCTTTGAGTACAGTTTTTCAACAAGTTGTGCACCCATTTCATACTAATTACATCTACAACGTATTTCCTTAGTTTTCTTATGAGAATGTCATGTGGAACTGTATCAAAAGCCTTACTAAAACCAAGATATATCACATCTGCTGTGTCCTCCCTCTCCCACCTCCCCCCCATTCCACTAAGCCAGTAACCCCGTCAAAGAAGGCAATTAGGTTGGTTTGGCATGATCTTGACAAATCTATGCTGGCTATTCCTTATAATCCTATTATCCTCTAGGTGCTTACAAATTGATTGTTTAACAATTTATTTCAGTATCTTTCCAGGTATCAAAGTTAGGCTGACTGGTTTACAATTCCCTGGGTCCTCTTTGTTCCGCTTTTAAAAGATAGATACCATGTTTGCTTTTCTTCTGTCCTCTGGGACCTTGCCTATCCTCTGAGTTCTCAAAGATAATTGCTAATGTTCTGAGATTGCTGCAGCAAGTTCCTTAAGGCCCGTGGATGAATTTAATCAAGCCCTGCCGACTTGAATACATCTAATTTACCTAAATATTCTTTAACCTGTTCTTTCCCTATTTGGGCATATATTCCTTCCTCCTTGTTGTTAATATTAATTGTTGAGTATCTGGTCACCATTAACCTTTTTAGTGAAGGCTCAAGCAAAATAGGCATTAAACACCTCACCTTCTTGGTGTCATCAGTTATTAGCTCTCCTTCCTTGCTAAGTAGAGGACCTACACTTTCCTTCATTTTTCTTTTGCTCCTAATGTATTTAAAGAACCTCTTCTTTTGGCCTTTTCTGTCTCTTGTTGGTGTCACTCATTTTGTGCCTTGGCCTTTTTGATTTTGTCCCTGATTTTGTTCTTGGGAGCTGTTATTGTTGCTGTTGTTAAAGCACAATCCTGCTTCCTTTAAGACAAAACAAGGTGAACACACACAAAAAGAGGAGCGAAAAATACAACAAAGATAGAAACTTCATCTTTCACTTTCAGCCCTGCTGCTGGAAAAGTACAAGAAGAGCATGTAGTCACCTTAGCAGCCACTCTGTACCAAACTTGTACCAGCATCGGATGTTTTTGGCGTTGCATGTAGCTGCCTTTCTGGTCACAGGCTTATAGCAGTGTTGCAAAATATGCAAGCGTGGCCATCTAAACCAGACTCTTATTAGACAAAAGGAAAAAGGAGAGAGAGGGGAAAGAGAATGATTAAGGTAGGGAAGGAAAAGGACACAGTGTGTGCGGGACAAAGTTTCACATTCCAGGTGGTGGTTGGGATCTGAAGCTGATGGAGGTAGCGATGTCAGCATCTGTCTCCCTCTCTCTGGCCCATTCTGGTCAGGACATATTTCAGGGTTAGGATGAAGAAGGTCCTGTGGATCCCAGTAGACGATGGAGGTGGTAGCTTTATTGATAAATCTCGCTCTTTCCCCATCTCTCATCTTTCAGTCAGCTAGCGTCGCGGTAGCCAGCTTTTTCTCCCCAAAGTCTCTTTTGGAGGACACAAAAAGGGGAGTCTTGAATGGAATAGCCTACCCCCCTCCTTATTTTGTCCACCAATTAGGCCTAATTTCTGACACACCAATTTTGGTTCATTAATTGATGGTTGCACACTTTTCTTGTTTGCCAGGCATGATCTTGAGTTATATCAATAGGGCCTTTTTATTTGGACTAATTCAGTCTTTGTATCTCCTTTGTATCTTTTCCCATCAGCATTTATTGCCACAGGTTATTGTGACACTTTATAAACTTTCTTACAGTTGAGCTCACAATAAAGATAAATTTGTAGGCCCAGTTATCACACTGTACCTATGTCACATTTGCACCCATAACCAGGTAGTTCAGCGTACAAGATCTCAAGGTTTGCACTCATATCTCAGTTGCAGGTACTAAATGCAGGTGAGGACTTCGTCTCCAAAAAGGAGGGCTCCACTTTTGGAAATCAGCCCTATTATGTAAATATTTTGTCCTTATAATTGAATGCTGTTCAGTGTAGCCTCCAGAAGCCCTTGAGTTGTTACATGACAGCAAACATCAGACCATCTGTGGCTCTTCCGCCGTTGTTTCTCTGCAGCCAACATCACTTTTTCAGAGGTGCCATATGCTTGCATCCAGCTCTGCACTTTCTTCCTCCTTTAATAATTTACAAGCAAGGGTGCCTGTAGGATAGCTTTCCAGGAGAGTCTGCACAAAGTGAGGGATTCTGGTAGCAATGTTGTGATTAACTGAGCTTTATATTTCCCTTGGGCCCCCCACCACCCCACATGACAAGCCCAAGCTGACATCTTAGTCACAACCAGGATAGTTTTAAAACTAAACAATAATAAACACTGGAGTGGTGACTTGCACTTTAACATGCAACTTTCAACCCTTCTCTCTTGACAGCTGCAAAGCACAGGCCGGCTGCTGGAGGACCAGTTGCCTGAGATGATGACAGAGCTGCTGGCAATAGCACGTGACAAGATGTTGTGCCCCTCGGAGTCCATGCTGACACGGTCCCTCCTCCTTGAGGTCATTGAGCTGCATGCCAACAACTGGAACCCCCTGACGCCCACCATCACACAATACTACAACAAGACAATCCAGAAACTGACAGCCTGAGAACGTGGGGCGGTGGGGATGGAAAGGAGCAGGAAGAAGACATGCACCTTAAAAGGAAACAGGAAGGAACTGTGCTACAAATTGATCAGCTACTGGAGAGAGAAGCGAGAACCTTTATGAGAAAATACCTAAGAAGACAAACCCCAGCATGCTTAAGAATATGTTCATGAGGTTGGGGGGCAGGGGAGCATGTTTCTTTTCAGCTGTGTTGCGGAGCACCACTCCTCTTTCCTGCTGAGTTTTTGTTTCAGGTTTCTTCTATTAAATCATTGCTCATGCAGCCGCGCATCCCGCCGTGTTATTGTTTGGCTTTAGAAAGAACACGGAGAATTTGAAAAGCAAGTGGAAGTGCAGGCTAGCATTGTTTTCACGCCATTCTCTTGGCTTGCACCAGCCAACTGGCAGGAGACAACACACAGCAGATGTCTTGGGAGGACAAAGAAAGACACGTTCCACACCAGACGCCGGTAATTGACGGCTTTTGTCAAAGCGAAGCTTTCATTATTTTTTCCCCCTCCCCTTGTCTTCAACTTTTTATTCTCCCCCCCCCACCTCCACCCCTCCGCAAAATCCCCACCAACACCTGATTCTAGCTTAGGATTTCACACAAGATGATTTATTTATTTGCACTGGGTTTTCTTTTTTCTTTGTTGTTGTTTTATTAGGTTTTTTTAAACGGACATTTGCTATCAACTTTGAAACATGAAAATAACGTTATAATGTGAGCTCTTGAATGGTTGGCACAAGGGTGTTAAATTGGAAGAAGAAGTTAAAAAAATCCAAAAGCCACTTTAGAAGTATCATAGCCACAGTCTTCTTGCCAGTAACCTGTCAAGGTAATTGAAAAAATGTACACTCTGAGCTGGTAATTCTAAGAAACACAGGCATTCTGCAGCTGTTTGCTGCTAAAGACGCAGTATTCCTCATCCACTAAACTATAATCCATTTATTTTTTGTAACTTACTTTGTTTGTTTGTTTAAAGAGTGCTTTATTGTAATTACTGTCACAGTTGTAATTATACATTTAAACCAGGTCCCTTATGCTTGATCCTAATAATAGACAGGGTGAGGGAAAAATTAAGACTTGAAGTTCTTCTTTGGAAACTGGTAAATAGAAGGTGACAAGTATATGGCATTGGAAAGGAAAAAAGAAAAGCCGAAAATATAGGTTTCAGGTTTGGCTTCTAATTAGCTAAACTTTCCTAACCAGTGTCTCTCGGTTTGCATTGCATAGACGTGGAACTCAGAAGGAGGCTGTCCCCGTCTTTTGCTTTGTCAGAAGCATAGTCTGTTTAGTCGGTGTAACTAATACAGCCTCTGATATGGAGGAGGGTCAGAGCGGGTTGTTTCATTCCACTAAATGAAGTGTAAAGAGGAGAGCAATGTGAATGGCTAGAGATGGAGTAGAGGTAGTACGAGAAGGAAGCCACAGTGCACCTCACTGGCCTTACCTGTGTAACCCACTGGTGAGTGTGTGTTACAATTCCCATTCTGTGTCCAGTTCACAGAGGATATGAGTCTGTTACAGCCCCAGCGAGGGACTTTCAGCTCGAACTGTAACAGCTCATGCTTTTAGCTCTGGCGATCTCTGGTTCAACCCCTGGTGGGTCAGACAAGATGGCAGCTGTCACGCAGTGGAAGCTTGTCTGGAATTCAAACTGCTGTGGGCCTCAGACACTTAGGATGAGCTTCCTTGGATCCAAGGAAGGATGTAACTCACTGGTGAGCGTGTGTTACAGGTCCCCAACCTCCATGCCCAATGCGCAGAGAGATGAGTCTGTTACAGCCCCAGCTAGAGAGGTTTGATTCTTTAGAGCAAGCTGTCACAGTTCATGCTTTTTGAGCTCTGGAGATGCCCAGTTCAATCTCCAGTGTGTTGGCAAAGGCGGCAGCCATCACATCTACTTATCCCGCCATATTTAACACTAGTGCAGTTTCACTGGTGTTAGAAACATTGGGAGCCCTTTGTAAAGAGGCTGTTGACAGAAATTTAAGCACTGTGTTCTCTAGACCTGATCCAAGCAGGATTAGGTGATTCACTTGCTTAAAAACCCTAGCGCTCCGTCTACTCTAGGGTTCTCAACAATGCTCACACCAGTGAAGCTGACGTGGTGTTGGCAATGTTGAGAAGTGTTTGCAGAATGCCCCTAGGGCAGATCAGTCTAGCATGAGAAGTGAAGCCAGTGACTTGACTTCATTAGGGAAGAAGGTGAGCTGTTAAGTGTGCGACGTGCTTTTAGACTGAGAGGGATCCGTGTCAGTCGTAAAACAAGTATTAGTTTTGAAGCACATGCAAGTTTGGCAGAGAAACCGCAGCTTCGAAGCATATGGTACATTTATTTTTTAAAGTATCTATTCTGTAGTAAGTCTGTAATTCCTAAGAAGAGCAGAGCTGCCCACCAAACCCTTCCTTAGGGGCCAGTCCCACAGGACGGCATGGCTTTAATTCCCAATGATGCCAGCGGGATTTGTGGGTGCTCATCAACTTGCAGGCTTAGGGCTTTAATATATAATATAAGGCAAGAGATTTGTGAGAGATCGACGTAAACACAATATTTACCATTTGGGG